TTTCATTGACATGCAATACAAAATAATGTAAAAATAAGACATTTTGACTTAATTTTCAACCAGGAATCCGATGGAAGTGGTTTTACAGTGATCCGAAATTATTTGGATAGGTAGATTTGACTTGTACATAATCAATATCGATTGTACATAATCAGATTTGAATTGTACATATTTTGTACATTTTTCTACAATATACTTTGTTATAATAGTATGAATAATTACAAAGTTGGCCATTCGCGGCGAATTCAAAAACTGCTATAAAAATTAGACTAGGTGAAATTTGAGTACTCGATTGGAATTTTGCAAATCTAAATACAGATTTGAATTGTACATATTTAGTACATTTTTTTACAATATACTTCGTTATAATAATATGGATAGTTAAAAAGTTGGCCATTATCGGCGAATTCAAAAACTGCTATAAAAATTGGACTGGGTAAAATTTGAGTACTCGATGAAAATTTTTCAAATCTGATGGGTGATTTGAATTGTACATATTTTGTACATTTTAGCGACGTATAACTTTGGTGTTGTACAAATTCGGGTAAACATTTTCCGGGTTTTGATATTTTCAATTTTTAAAAATCCAAATTCTGAAAAAATTTTGTTGGTACATAATCATAAAAATTGTTGTACATAATTGTACATAATTAGTACATTTTAGTAGTATATACGATTTTTCGAAAATTAACATCGACCGGAAATTGACTACCTATCCAATTATTTGAAGGTCGAAAAATGGCTCGGTATCCAGACATGTTTTCAACTCGTCATTTTTTGAATGACTAAAAGAAATGTTTCCAAATCAAAGCGTATGGCCTCTGTTCGCCGCCAAATCATGAAATACACTAAAAACAGTTAATTTGGAGGCTAAATAATGCGTAAAAGCCGAAGTACGATGCCAAGTCCAAGTTGAACGTTAAAATGGAAAAATTACAAAATTTAGGAAAAATAGCTCATTCAATTCGATTTCTAAATGAAAAATACTCAGAGAGTGTTATAGTGTGCGCAATGCGCAGCCAGCCTGATGCAAACGTTCACACCGATTGACATAATGTTGTATGTACACTGTCAGTGGTTTTAGTATAAAAATGTCTCTCTATCCGTTACACTGTGGTCATGCGCTATGCAGATAAGATAGATTACTGTTCTTTGTTTCGAAGTTTGATTTATTTGACGTTTATTTGATTGACGTTTGACATTCAAGTGATAATATTCGTAGAAGCAGCTATTTGGCAAAATGGCAGAACAAAAAATTGATATTCTTAACAAATTTCCAACAGATTTTCGACATAATTTGTAAAGGACAAGCTGAGAATTAATATACAATAAATTTAAAAATTTGTCAATAGATGGCGACACATGAAAAAAAAAATGCTGTCACTTTTGTTTATAATTATTATTAATTTTGTGTTGGTGTTCATTTGATTGTTCAATCACATGGCGATTGATTTTTTTTGTTTGTTTGCATGTGATGACTGCACAAAATGTTTTTCTATATACCACATTATCCTAGCCATTATCGATCATCCGTTTTGGTAAACATATTTTTGAACTTTGACCAAATGCTATTTTTAGACTAGCTTCTTCAACTGAATTTTCTGAAACATTTTTTACGATAATATGCCCATTTCGTTACATTCCTTTTCAATTCGGAGCATGATCGTCAAGTTGCCTTTAAAAAGGTATGTATTTTAACGTGCTTTATTCAAACAAAAATTGTTTTTCAATAATTGAATGATTGTGTTGAATTTTATTTGCAGAATCGTTTGGGATTAAAACCAGTTTAAGATTGGGGCGAACAATTTGAAGATACCATTCACAAAGCTATTATACAAAAAACCACCCGAACAAGAAAATAATGATCTAAAATCTTTGATTGTGATGCTGCTGTTCCTTTGCCTGTACTAAAATCAATACCAGAAGTACGATTCAATTGTTATTTCTAAGATGTTAAACTAATAATAATCTTTAATTCCTTTGTTTCTTTTTATTCAGGTGCGATATCAATTCGTGATTTGGACATTTGGATGCAATGTTATTATCGATGGACAACGGTACTTGAAATAAAAAATGATGGCAATCCACAAAGCGATCTCTTCAATCGCATGATTCTGCATCATATATCAAAGTTACAACTAGACTTGCAAATGCGAACAATCGACGGTGACACAACATCAAAAAACAGCTAAAACTACAATTAAAACCGACGATAATCCATTACAATAATGCCGATGATCAGTTCATTTTTCCCATTTACACGTAACACAACCAATAAATAATAATAATAATACCAATGAATTGACTGACATTCTAGCAACAAGTAGCGAACTACTCACCAAAGGATCCATTTTTGATTGATTATCAATTCAAAAGGTTGAATAAATCATCTTCTATTCTATTAAATATACAATTTTCAAAAGAAGAAATTAATTAACAATGAAAAATATACTGTTCTTACCTTACATTCGTATTGACACAGCAATGAAACGACAACAACAATAACACGTATTTTTACTGTCAAAATGTTGATGTCAAATGGTGTCGACACAGGTGACGGTACTTTGTAATAGACTTTGTAATCCATATTCATCGTATATGATCCTATGTAAAGTTCTATACTTGATCTAGTTCACATTGACGGTTCAAATCGTTTATGTCCACTAGCGTGAACGTGGACTGTGTGTTTCTTCTGTTACATGTACGTTGTAATGGACAAGTATAGTAACATGGCGTCGTTCACCATCTAGCACGGTAGTAGGGACTGAAGAATTTCCAATAAAATGAAATATCTCTCATGCAAAAAAGGAATGTTTGTATTAAATTGAAGACAACAACGTATTAAATCTATGAAAATATGAGTTTATTTCATTTCTTTCGCTGATTTCAGATTGAAGCGTATTGACAATGTGTTGTATAACTAGAAGAATGTACGTGTTAATCTCTTTTTCGCAGTGAGATTATGTAACTGCTTCAATAAAACACCTTTGACTTATACTTTTTTAAAGTTTATTTAAAATAACCACTTTAACAATTCTGTCTTAATGACACCCTAATTTTCCCTATACAAACTCTGATTGCGGGTCAACTTTAGCATTCGTCGAGACAATCAGACTTTGTTTATTTTATATTGTAGTTGCGGGTCAACTTTAGCATTCGTCGAGACAACTACAATATTCGAAGAGATCTGGCTACTTAACTTTACTATGAAAAATACCAGCCCTTTTATACCTAAATTTTGTCTTTCCCACTTACATGAATTACATAGTACGACTATAGCAATTTCGAATTACATGGTCATATTCGGTTCAAAGTCCATGTTTACAATATTTATCTTATACTGTGTTTTGACCGTAAACCAATTTACATATTTTTATATTGACAGTGGTCATGCGATCATAGCGAATGCGATGTAACATGTCGCATAGCATCGCTATGTTATCATTGTTGCCTTTCACTTTTACAGCTTATTATCATATATGTAAACAACGGTCTTCGTTGCTTCATATATGCTTACAGTGTTATTGTGAATTAGCTTAAGACGTACAAATTCCGGTTTTTGAATGTAAACAAACATTGAAATTTTTGGGCTTTTAAATCCAGTTCGGATTTAAACAAAGAATGAGGCAATTTAATCTAAATCATAATTAATGACAGCAGCAACGAGCTATTAAAATGAATTTGCCCACTGTTTGAACTGTTCACAGAATGGTATCTCGGTTAAAAATGTGGTTCGGATAAAAAAATAAATAAATAAAAAGTCAGAATTCGAAAAAAGGTCAGCGTCGGAAAATGCTCATAACAGACGATACCTACAAAGTGATGATGTACAATTTTCTATACCCACCTAAATAATTTTATAGAAGGCAATTAGGAAAACGATATCCAATGATTGTGAACATAAATTATGCATGTCATAAATAACAAAAAAAGCAACATATATCGTTGTTGATGTTCATTTTTTTATTTTTCATTTTCATTTTTTTTCTATTCAACAATTGACACAGTTTGATGTCGTTAAACAGTAAAACGTGCGTTCCTTCCTTAATGTTTGAGCATGAATAATGTGCATAAAGCCCAGTCATCTGGCAATTTTACCAAAAAATATATTTATGAAGCGAAGAATGAAATTGGTACAAAAATCACGAAATCACGTATTTGAACAGAATAATGGCATTTTATTTTGATATTTTTTGATGGTGGTAATATCTTGTGATGCGGCTGATTCTGTTTCTTCCATGAGATGCCATAGCGTGCCTGAAACAATTGTTTTAATGTTGTCACAAATGTCTTTCGGCGCCAACCATACCGTTTGCATAAGCACAATCTAATATGCTGAGCGCTAAAACTATAGAATCCAAAATAGACAAGATCTCGTGCCAGTTTTACTACTTCGAACGTTAGCTTACTTTACACATTTCATCGCCAAATTACACAAATAATTCTCGACAAATGCAATTGTTGTATTGAATCGTGCCCGAACCGCTTCTTTATTCTAATCGGGTTGTTTTTTCGAATTATAGCTACAAAACGACAGTGATTGATTTCATAAGTGTCAGCTCATGACAGACGGCATTGAAATAAGTGTAAAAAACAAAACCATTAATGATAGATACTCACTCGTCAATCGACATTTTCGATGGTATATCCGACCACAATCGAGCAAAATCAAAGGACGACGTTCGTTGTGAGTCAATGAACCATTTTTCAATTTGGTATTCATTGCTTCGAAAACTTTGCACGCATCATTGGCAAAATCCAAATCACGCACTTCAAACGGTGGTACTGGAATTAAGGCAAACGCTTCTTTGTCTTCTTTGATAAATGAACAACAGACTTTTGACATGACCGGCTTATCTTCGTCCACATCGATCGGATGTGATGTGGCATGAACCCATGAATTTGAACATAAATGTCTCATACGCACATAGCTTGACTGTGGCACCAACGAATCGATGCAAGTCATTGTGGTTGAATCTAATTCAAATACCGATGCTAAATCACTTGAATATGATACCGGAACCGCGGTATGTTGGCGATGAACCTTGATGCGATGGTAGGCTCGACTCCATATCAATTCCAAGACCAAGTCTTTGTGCCAACGGTGTATTCAATGCGCTATTTATTACCGATGAATTTGCAATCGATGTATTTGGATTTACTAGTGCGGATGCATCCAGTTCAGCGGCTAAACAAAATCCAGTAGCCAAATGCTTGAAGCGATACAAGGAATTCCTGAAATTAAAAACGGTCAAATGAGTGAAAAATAATTGGGGTTTGGTGTGAAAAAAAGGATTACCAATGACCAGCACCGCCTCTGCATGGATCATGTTGAACAATGTTAATTTCCCACAATGCTTTGCTACTTGTTGCCGCTGTTGCACTCGTTCTGCCAGTCGTGCGGAGAAACACGTGTTGTTGTTTCTAAAAACCATTTCACATTTATCGTCGTATATTTTAAAATTAAATATCGAAGTTTATGTTTACCTTATAGGCGTTCATTGTCAAGAATTTCTCTTGTTCGACATGAAACAGACGCACAACATCGCCCCCTTTCAAAACATCGTCTTGGTTGTCAGTGTGCTTTAAAAATAGTGTAATTTTCCATAATGTTGACGAATTCAGCACATTAACCTCTTTGTTGCAAAGAAACAATCGTATTCAAATTCTTGAAATTGCTGATGAAACATGATATAGATACACTCAGATAAAAAGCACTTACCGTTGCAACCAGGATTATCGGGCATTTCAAAATTGGCGGCAACATGTTTTTGTACTGGATTCAAAATAACCTTATCACCGATCACGACATTATCACCGGTTGAACGCAATTTATAAAACCATGACCCTTCATAACCATTTGCATCTAAATACACGCGCATCGCATTCTTCTCCAAATACGATGGCAACCGTTTGTTGACGGTGAGATATTTATTTGATCTTAAATGAAGTAATTGTACGATACTACCGTAAGGGACGACATTACCAAGTAATTTCTTATTTTCGCTTTCAATTTGTTTCTTTTCAATTTTTGCCGCATGATGTAATCGTTTCAAAAGGCTTGTAACGGTATTTTTTCCACTGCTCGATCCACCCATTCCACCATTGTTGATATTTTGTGCATTTTGTTTGGCCGCATTCCAGAATTGTTTCTGTGCCGAATATCGATTCATCGGACATATTTGATTAAACAATCGCGTAACTTTTTCGGTGGACTATTTAAATTTCCTCCGGACAAACAACGGTTCGATCATCTTCAACCAAACTATAATCAATGTTGTTAGAAATAAAATAACGTAAATTGGCAATAACATATTTAATTGGTCTAATTAGTGGAAAATTTCCACTAAACCTAAATGGCAACAACGTATATATGAAAAACAAAAATCACAACTTACCCGAGCGTACTTAGAAAGCCGCAAACACTGCCTTCTGCGTACAGCGACACAATATCGCCAAGATGCAAAAAACTCGATGAATCCATTTTCGAATCGTTCAAACTAGATCCAAGCGAACCGATGTATGGATGTGAACCAATGAATTCGTGTCAAATTCGATTAATGCGTGTATTTGAATTCGATGACCACTTTCAGCTAAACCACATTGAAATTATTTCCCAACTAATGACCGAATGACCACCGAAACACTATATATGCGATCTCGTTTTCGATGCTCAATTTAGCTGTCACACATCAATCCGTCTCAACAAACCGGCAAATGGATTGACAGCCAATTTTGTTTTTCTCATCATGTGTCGTCATCGTCGTTGTTTTTTTTTTTTTCATTCAAAACAAAAGAAATGTCTATCAAATATGTAAGTGCACAATGTAGACACATTTTATGTTGTTTGAACTCGATGATCTATGAAACATGATATTTTGTTATAAAAAGAATTTTCGCTGTATTATTCGTGATATTTTTTCTCTCTCCTCGGTCGTCTTTATTGAATTGGTAGAGAGCATGCGATCAAGCGAACAACAATGCCTTGGTAAACAAGCGTACATTGTGCATATACTATGTGCCACATAGTAATCAATGGATGGTTGCCGTTTCTCGTTTCGAACAAATAAAAGACGCTTTAACAAATTACACGGCATACCGATGTTGAAATATTAAAATGTCGATATGTTTTTACGCCTCGTTCATTTACATGTATTGCCGAAGTGGTGCCATATAGCTGGTGCTTAATTGATGCAATTTGCTTTTCTGTCCGTTTTCTCTATTTTTGTTAGCGGTATTTTGAGAATTATAGTATATACTATAGAATTATATCCTATGGGACATAGTGTGCTATATAGAACAAAAATCACATTCATATTTAAAAACTTCCATTTTGTTTAATTGTATTGATTAACACCATTCAATTTGTTTAACTCAAACGATTTGAAGTTTGATATTTTTTACAATGTTTTCAGCATTAAAATATTGAATATCCGATCCGATCGGACCGATCGAAATGTAATACAAATTGACGTTTTCGTTCTTGTTTTCGTTTATGCGAATGCGTCTAATTGAAAAACCACAAACAACGATGGAATCAATTTTTTCCCCCTGACAAATAACACCAAATACCACAACATCAGATTAATTCAACAATCAATGGGCTCTATCTCATGTTCACTTGAGCACACATTTTGTTCATGTATTTTACTACTCGCTTTCGCGATTTTATTTCATTAAAATAACTAGAATTCATGCTAATTGCGAATTCCAATTGAAGTTTGTTCATTTTGTTGTTGCCGCCGCCGCCGTCGACGTTGCCTCTGCCACTGTCGATTACTATAAATCCATTTTAAATCGAAAACTACAACAGATCGACAGACGCGAAAAAAGACAGCACACTGAACGATATAAGATGATAGAAAAAAAACTACAGCGCATAGTAATGAGTTTTTTTCTTCTATCCGTACTGGGAGTTTATATGCTAGATTTAATAAACTCATTTACATTTAACCGCAACAAAGCCATAAGTTTCAAATATTGGCGAATAATTTTTTTCTATACAATAATTTTGATTCACTAAAACACTTTGATCGGTTTGCGGTGATTTTTGCATGTGTTGTTGCTGTGTTATTATTAGTTTTGCACTCGTGATAACTTGTTGGTAACTTGTTGCTTACTTTTTCTCCATAGATCTTCATAAAAATTGTTCTCGTTTTTTTGATAAATTAGAAAAGAGAAGAAAAAAAACATACAGACACTTGAATGCATCGCCCACCAAATTACCATGCAATCCCTTGTAATTTTCAATTTTACATTATTATTAGCATAATTTTCTGTAAAAAAACACACAGATTTCGTCCGCAGCCGATTAATCGAGATTGTTTTAAGCGCGACTGTACGCAAAATTGGCAAGAAAATTCGTTTTAAGATAACTTAACAAGGATAAAAACAAGTAGATAAACACGAACGATGAAAAAAGAGAAAAAAAGAGGTAACGGCCGTAAGAACGAACCGAGAACGTACCGAATAAAATTGAAACTGAAAACAATGTTGCCTCATATGAAGGGCAACACGAGCTAGCAAACAACCTTATTAGCTCGGTGTGTTCAAACAAATACATCCACACAAACTCACATATACACACACCCATGCTACATTAAAGGAGAAAAAAAAGCACACTCGAACAGAAAAACCATAACAGAATTAGAGTGAAACCGCGCGCTTAACATGACACACAAAAAAAACAACCCAAGAGTAAGAGGGACAGAAGTAGATTGAGTGACAGAAAAATCTTGAACATACACAGAACTCCGTCTCTTTTGTTTTTGTTGCTGGATTTCTTCCGTGTTTGTGTTTTGTAATGTAATGCCGTTTTATTCTCAAGCGAATGCCACACAAAATTATACTACACATGCACCACTAACACCGTGACACGATGGCAAATGAATAATAACAATAATAACAAACAAGCGAGACGAGAGAATTGTTACGTGGACGCTGTGTTCAAAGGCAGCACACCGCCAACTTGAACCGACCACCGTTTCACTCAAGTGATTCATATATGCACAAAAATTTACTGGATATTTTCGTTTATTTTATCAGATGTTTGCATTGACATTGATGTGTTACAAACAAATACATTCGCACACCTACTAAGATAGATTCGATTTTACGAAGACGAAAAAAACGTAATAATCATAATCAGGGGAAAAAATGCCCAAAAAGGTATTAATTGTTTATCAGTATAAAATATTATAATTATATATACTAAACGCAACTACGACCAAAATACCTTTTGCCGTATAAGACATGATGATCATACGATTGATTGTCACATTCCTAATTTATTCTTATTTATCCTTACGGAGCATGCCAAAACAGACATTGCGGTTGTGACAGTGTGAATTGGTCTTAATGTTAATACAAACGTAGCTACACGCACACACTGACATCAACGTCACGTATATATAGAACAATCTACAACATCACGGCAATGATAAATGTTGTATGTAAATGTATTTTCATGTTTTTAAATACAAAGTGCAACGAAGAAGAATATTTTGAAAGCAGCGCTTGTATGTCAAATAGCACACCAAAGAAAAAATCGACAACAACAGCATCAAAATAAGTAATAAATAATACGCTAAACACACAGAAGAATCAACTGAAGCGATCACAATAATACAAGATAGAATAAAACAAAGTAATACATATTTTACAGTATTTATATATATTTTTTGCGTGCAAATTTCCTTTCGTTCACACAACTTGCTCTGCTCTTTCGTTTACATCACTCTCTCTTTTTCGTTAATGCAGACAGTTTTTTCTTCATGTTTTCTCTTCATTTGAAATAGGTAAGTGGAATTAAAAAAAAAACAAATAGAATAATCTATTTCTTTTAATTTTTCAATTTTTTTTTAACAAAATCTTTACTCTTTCTCTTTTTACTTCGAAGGATCGAATAATAATTTGGTGCTCGGATTGGATATTGTAACCACTGAATCATTGTTTGGCTATCAACAAAAACAATTGTCCGAATATTTCAAGGAAAAATCGAATCATCATTCAAATCAATTCACAACGGAAAATGCGGGAAAGTGTGATTTTGCCAGGTACCAGCGTATTTTTACAACACAATCCAAAGCAAAAGCCAATGATATCCTTCCTCAAATACTACAATTACATGCAAAATAAAAAGAAATTCGACACAAAAATGGTGCCATTGGATATGTTGGGCATCACAACACCCGAAGACGGTAACGATCTCATTCATTCAACAAATTCACAAATGAACGACAAACATCGTGCAATCATTAGCTATGCCCAGTACAAAGACATGAAACAATTACACGACGATGGGGTGTTGATGTAAAAATTGCCACACCAATACTATCGCTATTCTGGTGCCGAGCACAAATGAACAATCAAAATCAGCAAAAGACGGTGGTTCGAATGTACCGTCGAAAATAATGCTGGGCCTTGACATTGAAACAAACCATATGGAGCGCGAACGGGAACGGGAACGAGAACGAGAAAGAGAACAGACAGTGCCACGCTATTCAAATCTGACCGTTTTCACAAAGGATTTGTCCAATTCAAACGATCAATTGATAAATATTTTGATACACGATGTGAACGGTGGCGATGACGATCATGTCAGTTTGAAGAATAGCGCTGAGATTGTCATTAAAAATTCGGCAGAGAATTTCGATGAGGCATCAGTCTCATTGGCACCATCACTCACAAAAAAATCATTTGAACCGAACTTCATTTTTTCGGACCAATTATCATCAATCGTTCATGCACACACATTTCCAATTATGCCGTTTTAATTGATGTCATTGATCCAAGCGACATACCCGAACCGTCGTTACTCATTGCTGAAATGTTGTTCTTCATTGGATTCCAATCGCGACGCAATTTAATCGACACGGAATTTTCATGTAAAATTATTGCGATTTGTTTGCATTATGCATGCTGCTTTTGCATGGACAACCGTTGATTGGGTACACTTGTATCGAATGCTCACCGAAATTCGAGACGTTAATCATGGACCGATGGGCTTTTATTTCTCAATTGGATACGGAGCACCGGCCATTGTTGTTGCACTATCGATTGGCGTTCGGGTGAATGAATATGGAAATAGTTTGTTGTAAGTACCTCTTCATGAAAAATTCGTTTCTTTTATAACGAAATTTATAACGTTTTATTTCGAAATATTTGCGTATTCTTTTATCTAACTAATTTCACATTCAATTTCAGCTGTTGGTTGTCAGTGTATGAGTCGGTTGTGTGGTAGTTAGTCGGACCGATAGCCGGAATGTCTGTGGTGAACTTGATGATAATATTTGTATCGGTAAAAGCGGCATTCACGTTAAAAGACCATGTGCTTGGTTTCGGAAATTTGAGGTAATTTTTCCCACCATAAACTTGTAAATTACACGTTGTAATTTATTTTTTGGCTTTGTTCTTTTTTTGTTACCTTTTGCAGAACGCTTCTCTGGCTGTCCGTAGTGTCATTACCGTTGATGGGAATAATGT